ATAATTTAAAGAAATCAAATACGACCCGAACATCACGAAATTTTACATGGGAAAAACAATGTGTCAGGCTCGGGATATAGATCCACAGAAAGTTAGTGTTCAGTGATGTGTGATACCCTCATACGGTCAGCCGCGTATACTGCTCCATTCACTGGTTTTATTTTAACGTTGTTGATATTAGAAAAAGTATAAAATTTGTAGAATATTGATCTACAGTAGAACCTCGACATAATGATCAATATATTGTCCTCATCGTTTAATAGAAAATATATAATCCGATTTTCCTTAGTTCATTATAAACGTTGCAATGTAAGTCAAAATTCTCAGTGTGGGTCATAAAAACTAGATCGCTATAAAAAAGTGCATTATAACCGTGTTATAAACGTTATAAACTTAGTGATATATATAAAAATATGTACAACGTTGTTGGGATCGTACAAAACTTTTCGCTATTCGTATAAGGTTTAAAAGTAAGAAATCTTGAAGTTGTTTTTAAATCTTGAAGTTGTTAATCTGAACCGTGTCTATAATTGACAAACAGTATATAAACAAATCAGTTTAAAATTTAACAGATTTTATTTGTTTATTTGTGATTATTTGTATATATATGTCAAATGAATTATATATCAAATGAATTATACGAAAAGTCATCCATGGTTTTTCATTTAATTCGAACCTACACAAATTCATGAATGTCCCATTCAAATTTCGCTTAAAAATAATAAATCAAAAACAAATAATCCAATCCGTTCCAAATTTTATTTAGCAATCGTATGAACTAAGATAATTGCAATCGATTAAGTTCTTCGATCTTTTCAAAAAAAAAAAAAAAAATCATATGTTCCAGATAGAGTCATGCCCTCTTTCGAATGCCGTTGTATTTTTTCGGAATCGGACGTTCCAGTGATCGGAAATCACAACTAAAAAACAACAACAAAATTATGTTAATGCATTTCCTTATGCCTTAAATATTCAAGTGCCTTCATACAAAGTTGCACGTCCATTAGCCAGCCTGTTGCAAATCATAAAAATTTGAAATCGAGCATGCGGTGTCCCCTTAATACACAAAATAAAGGTGCTTTGGAAAGCAGATATTATTATACAAGTGTTATACAATATAGCAATAATTATTTCAAAACATAAATACTCGAAATATAAATTTAACCCAAGATCTTTAATATTTGTCCAACTGAAATCGATCAAATTCTTCAGTTTCGACTGATATTTGCATTCGACTTGATAATATCTAATTTGATGTTATTAAAAATCGACCTTTCTTGCCAAGTCGGACTCTTCCCAACATGTGCTTTTATTTTATATTATTCAACATATATTTGTTTGTTTGTTTTAATTTTAAGAATTGAGAGATATCGTTACATTTATTTTTCTAATGCTTTCATCATTAATTCCGTAATTAAAGCAAGAGGTTTTGAAATATTTGGAGACGTCGATGTTGATGGAAGGGCATTGTTCGTTCGTACGCTTTACTATTTGTTACAGCTAAATAAATATAAGTTTTGGGTATGTGTTCCAGCGTTCGCATCCTAGGAAGCGTCACAGATTCGTATTCAAATTTCTATTCATAAGAATTGGGCGTTTTTATTGGAATTGTGCTGCTTCACACATGTATCGTTTATCCTTGCTCCTAATGTCTTCGAACAAAGATGGATTTACACTATTTTCTTAAAACTAAGTATGTTTATGAACTATTTTAGTTAATCTATTGGTATATTTATTATGTATGGTTGTGTGTGATATGTGTGTTTGTAAGTATGATTGAGTAGTTCTGTGCATATGTTGATTCCTATCAACAAGAGTGGGTGTGGCCGAAAGAAGCGGTGCGAGCAAGCGAGTGTGTGTGTGTATTTTTGCTGTGTTCATTGGTGGCCCCAGGGATCTATATTACCTTCTATGACCTGCAGACGCAGTGCAAAAACTTAACAGATTCCTAATCCCTGTGAATGGTGTGACGTGATCAGGGGAAGCGAGTAGTGTGCACAAATGTGTATTTCCTAATCCTAAACTTATTTGTAAAATGTCTAAATTTGTTTTTCAAGTTCAGCTTGCAAATATGCCATTTGTTGAGTATGTTTTGGTTTTTGTTTTACATTTACTAAAAGGCATTCAAAGGGGAAATAGGACTTCACAAGAGCTAATTATCGTTAAGTGGGGGTTTCCATTGTAAAATAATATATATGTATATATACTTTTTTATTTAAAAGCGTTGATCATAACTTGCTTCAAATCCGCCAATAGTTTACTCAAAAATGCTGCATACTAGTTTATTCGTACTTTGCAATCTGTGCAGCATAATCACCAATAAAGTGTGCTACTCGCGCCATGGGTGGTGAACGGAGTCACGCATTCACGATTATCTTTACCGTTCACAAAATCTCTGAATACGAGTACGTCTAGTTGAGTGGATGGGCAAGGGCCGGGATGCAATGTGTCCCTTTAACAAAGTATAAGTTCTTGTCCTAGGTAAATAAATTCTTATTCTTGTTAGATACTTGTCACTATAATTTATAATGTTGTGTTTTCTGGTTTAAATTACTATTTTGTTCTTCCTAAATCATTTTTATAATTAATATGTATATTAAGTTTGTTTCTTTTTGTTTTTGAAAAATAAGGCCCGTGTATTTCATACATAAGTTCCGGCTGGGACTTCCTATGTATTCTATAGTTTGTAATACAAAGCGTTGGTTATATTTTATATGCACATTTCAAGGATTTGCGATACTGGGATACGAGCTTATGGTATAGGGTGATTGGCGCTGTTGGCTTGATGCTGATTCTGTATTTGTTTTTATAGCTTCAGGGCTACCGAAAGCCTGTCTTTCGGTTTCTACAGTCGTATGTGTGTTCCTCATGACACATCTTACAGTACTGCCTGTCATGGTGAATGAACTCGAATGTTCATCGAATCTTCAGGCTTCATCACACGTGGAACGTGTAGACAGTCTTTCCAGTCAGACTTAAGCCAAAAACGCAACCAGACATTTGTTCTGTACTCCAACATACCACGACATATCAGTGGCAGATTTACTTTCGTTTTCATCTTACAATAATGTTGTAGCTTATGTTTCGACTACTATTTAAATTCAACGGTGCTCACAAATGTTCTAAACTAATTCGAGGGTCCAATGATGTAATAATTAATTATATAATAACAGGGTGGCGGTTATATCATTACATTTTGGATGATGTGGGTAGACGTGTGTAATTGTGGTGCGGGCTATCTTACAACAATTCATGTTATGTATTGTTTTTGTGGTAAAGGTCGTTGGTATTCAAATGCTCACAGACAACGGCCAGTCACGTGTCGTACTCCCCCGACAATTTATGGATGAATGAATCAAATTCAAGTAAGTATAGTCTAATAGTCGAATCCAAAGCATCCCGCAAAAATGACGCTGATACGTTTTTTCGCATTCGAGCAACAGCGGACACCACAAAGTGCTTTAGAAAAAAACAGTGTTTCGAATATAGATCAATGATATTCTTAAAACTGATTTTGGATCGGTAGTACGAAGTAGCGCAATGTTAACAGTTTCTTGCAGTTTCCACGAAGCTGTAGATAGATGTTAGCGATATTTTCCACATGAAATGCGTTTATTAGGCGGATGCTTTGGACGACCTAACTGTATGATTGCGTCTTGTCAGCCATGTTATCATAAGGATATTACCTTGTGCTTGTATTTTGCACTCGAGTGCCTGCTGTCCAATTGTAACCGCCGGTTCTACACGGAACAATGCAGGCTGTGCTGAAGCGCTACTTGAATCATACGTTCTTCCGGTTTCACTTATCCATGGAGAGAGTACTTGGTGAACTGTGTCTGCCTCGTGTGTTAATGTGTGTGATTCCAGTATATGTTATGTTGAACTGGGTTCCTTGGTTTTTGTTAGTTTGCTTGTTATCCTTAATTAAATTGTCATTATGGTATAAAAATAGAAAAAGTGTATGAAAAAATTCGTCGAAAAAAGTTGTTTGTTTAAGTTTGAATACAAAATGTTGTTGCTTCGTTAACAAGAGATTGGTTTGAAGGGGAATAAAATCGAAGTGTTGTTGTTAAATTTTGCGATTGTTGTTTATATCTTAACTTTAATTGTGTGTTGTATTTGTCCTAGCTTTACTAAGTTGCGGATAAACGTGTATGTGTTGTTGCTGGCGTTGCCAGTTGCACACACATTTGCCGTGCAGACATGACTGCGATTATATAAATGTAATATTAATACTATTTGGTTGATTGTTTTTGTGTCATCACGGTTGCTGTTTTGCCTCTTACTTGGGAGCAGAGCGACATATCAAGTGGAGGAACTGCTCAATAGATTGGGGACATTGGCATTCGAGCGGCCACATGATGGTTTTTTGCCAATATGTTTACCTTGTGTTCGGAGGATCAGCCTCAGAGTGTGATTCATTGGTGGCGTTGGTATCTTTAGTGGCCATCGATAGTACTGGGAAGGAAGAAATGGTTGTGTGTGGCTCGGTATTCCTGTTGCCAGTCCCCTTTCGTTTGTTTGACGTTTGGAAGGCTGTTGGTGAAAGATTGTGCTCGTGGCCTATTTTGCATTAGGTTCGATAGTCGTGGCCGGCTTTCAATAGGGGTGAATGCAAAACGAGAATCTTGGTGGGAATCATGAATAGGTTGGCATTTCCAATGGTATGGTTTTGTTGTAAATGTGGAAGTTCTACGTCTCTTCTACTGTTTCTTTCTGTAGCGCACGGATGCCTTGTAAATTCGCTTCGTAGCGATTACGAATGTTCCGACGTCTATGACTGACTACCTTTTGGTGGTGTCGGGAGCAGTATCTTTACTTTATTCGACAATGGTATTGGAGACGTGTGGAACAGGTACGGCGAGAAGATGCAGACACAGATGAGAAAGGAAAATGGTACTGAATGATTGAAGAGGCCAAGAGTAGAAACGTTTTGGTCCACGGAGTCGCTGAGGAATGTGTTGCTGTTGTAGCAGCCGCAAAAGCTGCTGTGGTAGCCACTAGCAACCCCCATACCACGGAAATGTCCAGCACCATCAGTGCGGAAGCATCAGCGGGCGAGCAGTACTTGTTAGCTTCAGACGCGTCTGGGGCTTGTCTTCAAAGTCCTCGTTGTAATTGTAAAACGGAGATATCTTGAGACCGGTCTTTTCGGGTATGATCTTGAAGTGGGGTTGCTCGGTGCTTACGATCAGTGGTCGTTTCATGGAGTGCATATACTGGGAGTGGGGTGCGCCCAAGGGTCGTCTTGTGCTGGGGACATTCATTTTTTTGCAAGGCTCAGGTTTGGTATCGTTGTTGTAGTGAGAGTTTTGAGCAGCGTATTTATTCGGCTTGTAAATGGAGAAAATGTTGTTAATGAGATTTAGGGCTGAGTGGCCACTTGCCGAAGGATGGCCGGACGAGGTGGGCTGTTGGGTTTGAACGTCTTCTTGATAGAAGTTGTTGTATTGATAGGTTGGCAACGTTTCCGCAGCGGGATACACTTTATGGCCATAGTTGAAAGGGCGGTGGAGGGGTGAGCCTGGCGGTTCAAAAAAATGAAAAGTGTTCGAGGCACTGTTTGTGTCCGTGGGCAGTGAAGCAGAAGTTGAGTGATGCTCAACTTGCGGCGGCGAGGGCATGCCTTCTAACAGCGATTTCTTGATCATCATTCGTTCCTGTTCTCGATCGTGTAAATCTATGGGTTGGCCATTGTTGTAACATCCAACGCTAACGTTTTTCACCTTCAGATTACTGTGCATATTGCGGCGCTGCATGTCCAAATCTATGGGGCTAGGTGGTTTCTCCAACTCCTCCCAGTATTTCTCCAAGTCAATATTGAAATCCTGCAAGTCCATTTCGGTAGTGTCCGAGCACGAGTCCTCGTCGTAGCGACTGGGCGGCTGCACTTCAAGAAGTGACTTGCTTCTCGCCGGACGTCTATAAGCGGAGGAAGAAGTATAGTTCCGTCTGGGAGCTTCTGAAGACAAATAACGCTCATCCTCGTCCAAAAATTTGTCTTGCATCAGGAGACGGTCCCTTTCGTCACGTATAAAGTGTTCTAGATCAGTGTCGAAGGATGCGGCTCTGCAATGCATATGCTCTTCTTCTTCAGCTGCAGGATGGTGGCTGGGGCAGTGATAACGTGAACGCGGAACCGCTGGCAGCTGTTGTTGCTGCTGTAATGTTCTGGCCATAAGGTACTGCTGTTGGTGGTGGCAGCAATAGTCATTGGCGGCACAACAACAGATCATCGTAGGTGGCGACGGCAAAGGCTGCTCACGATGTGGTCCAGAGCCCGAAAGCAGCGAGTAGCGAGAAGCCGTTGCCACACGATGATTACTTCGATCCTCCCACCAGTCTAAATCGTGTATGCTTCTGCTGCTACCACCACTGACATCAGCACCATAGATGCCAGATATCGACGATGACGAAGGAGCAATCCTTCGCCAGGTCCTTCGCGGAGCCGTAGCATAGCTGTCCGAATATATGTCATCCAGTAAGCACCTGGCATTCGTGCAGCGCTCACGGGCACAACACACGTGCAAATCTTGTGCTGAAGACAGAGCGGCCTCATCCAAACTATTACTGCAATGGTAACCCATAGATTTGCGAAATGCTTCATGACGCTCCCGTCGGGATTTCCCTACCGATTGTGGCACTTCATAATCCATTACATCAAAAGGAGTTGTTTTCGACGAAGCGCTGAACGAATAGGATTTTGGCACATTCGCTTTGTTCTTTAAAATCGATGTCATGGGGGCGTGTGGTATAGAGGGGGCAGGTGGCGGGGGCGAAGCACCCACACCCTCGCCAAAGCTACGGTCGGCAAAGGAACAACTTTGCGATTTCGGGTAATGAAACTCCTTACAGCTGATCGATCGCTGCAGTCCATATCCAGCCGAACCTTCCCCCTCTCCTCTCCGTTCCCTCATGCCACCGCTGCCTCCACCACTTTCATAAACAGACCCCACCAATTCGTTTTCCAGAAATAATTCATCGGTCTCGCGTATATTTCTTAGTTTTCCAACTCTTCCATATTTCAGACATTCCGGTATAAACTCATCGTCCAGATCTTCGGAGCGGTTAGAATAAATGTTGTCCGTGTACCAGTTTGGATCCAGCTGTCGTGGCTTCGGTTTGGCCAGATGCATTTTATCTCTTTTCGATTGACGATAACTCTCGAAGCAAATACCCTTCATTCGTTCCAATTTCTGCTCGCGAATTCGTTCCCAATTCTCCCAGTTCTTATCGTTTTTACTGCGTCCGCTGCCATCCAAGCAGAACGTCAAGGTCTTTGACATATCGTAATCGCCATTATAGTCGACATTCGTGTTTTTGGGCTCTCCTCTATCTCTGTCCCTGATGTTCTTATATGTGGTCTGAGTGCCACCATTACTGTCCGTAACAACGATGCGAATTCGGCGACTGCCCCTGTCCCCAGCCTTGGAAGACAATGACGACTTGTGGGGCTGTTTGTCGCGTTCGCTAGACGGCTCTTCTGGCTGTCACACTTCTTGCAAATATTTTATGGGGCAATATCCCTGACGATTGTCAGCAGATCGCACCATGACCATTCCGTTAACTTCATCGCCCGTCTGGCGAAACAATATAAAACGAAAAAAGAGCAACCATCAGTTAATATGTTAACTACCTTTTGCGACAACCAAGCTACGAAACGTCCACACCCACCTGGATTACAATTTGATCTCGTAGAAGTGTCATGTTTTCGCCACGTTCCCCATCCGAAACCTGCAAATTGTGAGTCACTTGCAATGGTTTTTCGTTGGCATTCAAGCGCACACAATATTTCGATGGGAAGTATCCAACACGTCCCAAAACCTTGCCCTTCCACCAGTCGGGATCTGAAGTGTCGATGACAGTAACCTGAAATTAAAATGCAAATATTTGTTAATCCACGAATATAAAATATAACTTAAAAAGTTCCCTGCGATGCCTCAACAGGGCTTAATTTCTTGAACGAACTTAACGATGCAAGAAATACTTTCTTAAGAAATTCTACTTTTTGTAGAAATGTGCATTAAACATTGCAAATGCCATTAAATGCTTTGCGGCTCGCACACATTTCAAAAGTGAATATAGAATTTGAAGTACCCTACACACGTAGGGTGATAGCCCATCCATAGTTTAAGATTCAAACTCTACTATTTAGTATTTTTCGAACATTTACAGCATTCCTCTTCATAATCCTCTTTTCCCTTACCATATACCAAAGGTATATGCAGATTCCTTGAACACTCAGTACGTACCTTATAACCGGCCTTTAGATCCAATTCATCAGCATGTCGAGCCTTAAAGTTGTACAGAATAACGTATAAATTAGTTGGCAGCAGTCGGTGCGATTTCTAATAAAAAAAGACAAAAAAGGAGCATTTTAATAGGCAATTCGTCACTACCATATTATTGTGTATGAACAGATCTGTTTTCAATTGGTCCCATCCGGTGGGCAGGTGCTGACAATTTTGAAGGATATTTTAAATGGGGAATACCTGAAAATGTCTTACTGGGGAGGGACACGGCGATGTACTGGCCGATGACTGAGACTTCTCCATTTCGTCGGGCAAATCGACACTGCCTCCACGCATTCCCCGACTGGCATAAAGCAGCTTACGTCCTTGATGAGATGGACTTGATGGTGCTATAAAATACAGACAATAATTATATTTAAAGGTACTCCAATAAGGCATGGCTTCCAAACAACGAGACATAAGGGGGAATATGGGGTAAGAGGTGTACATATGTGCGCACAGGGACAGAAACGGAAACCACAGTGCAGGTAGTGCTAGGGACGTTTGTAATACGTTAAAACGAAACTAGCGTAGGGAAATAAAAACGAACGCATGCTTTTAAAATACTGTAAACTGTAAGAATGATACCGGAAATAAGCAAATAAATAGGAAAACAGGACCAACTACTAGTGGTGATAGGTGCAATAACAGCCGAGTGTACTTTTGTATTCCTAAAACAGAAACACAATGAAGCCACAAGATGTCACGATTATTCCAAAAACCGAATTGGCTACCAATGGCGAATGCAACGAATCTCCTGATTTGAGGGGTTGACTTACATCGCCAGCCTCTCAGAGAACCAGCTTCGTGGGTGTTTACATTGCGGCCCAAAAGCAAAATTGGTCTGATTGCTCTGTGCAGCACTAAAATCTTGAACCAATCGGGAATTTTTTCGATTTCGGTTGGATTTTCAAATAATACGTTCGATTATCACGGGACCTATTCGAAATACCGATTTTCACTTCTCAGCATTGATTTACCTCTTCATAAAATCTACAAAATAAAAAAACATTAAGCCTTTTTCATGATTTTTCGCACTGGGTTTAGAAGTTGCTATTATTCAACCAACAATATATGTCTGGAAGATAATCATGTTTATAGAAAATGGTATGCTATGGCATGGCATTTTAAGAAGCATGCCATTTTCTATTTACATGATAATCGTACGTATTATTCGAGAATCCAACCCAAATCGACAAAATTTAACCCAGGTTTAAACAAAAACCTTAGCTAACAATTCAAAAACCAGATAGGGTTTTTCTTCTACCACCATAAGGTTTCAGATTTTGGCGGTCCTGATTAGTTCAAATTGAGAAGTGGTAATGATTTATTGGATCCTCCCAGGGAAGTTGAGTACAAGAGGCTCGAGTTGGTGTTAAGATATCTGCTACAACTCTAATGAACACTTTAATTGTGAGAAATGACGAAATTATAAATCAATGAGAAGAACAAAACATTCGCTACATTAAATGACAGATGGCTTGAGGCAGGTATATATGTCCAGATTTATATTGGGCAATATTACTTGCGACAATTCTCAGTTCGGTTGTGAGATATTTAAGGGCTGTGGGACAATTAAGGATACGTAATGTAAATCAGGACTATGGTAGGTCTGCCAGTAAAAAAAAAAAAAAACAGACATAATGTGCTACGGCTAAAAAGCACACCTGCACACAGGCAACACTACAATGACAATCGTTATGGTTATGTTGAAAGGTTAACTAAAATTCCTACGTAACATTTCCTTTAAGCTATATGCAGGAATGGGTGGAATGAGTGATTAATGTGTTGAGTCAGAGTAAAGTCTGTGTGTCGGAGAGATTTTTCTCGTAAGGTCTGGCGTGCTGAGACAGTTACTAGTGGCTGTGTGCCCTTTGATGAAAGGAGGAGGGAGGCTCGTTCGAGAGGTTGTCAATGCTGGGAGATGTTAGGTGGTTTACAACAGTTTTTGGGCAAAACGGTCGCAAAGGTTAGGTAGAAAGGTGGTGTTGGGTAGAAGTTGCTGGCTTCGAATGGTGTTGTAGGCAATGCTCGATCAAGCAAAATATAGACAAGTAGAGACAAGAGTAAGAAATAGTATTTGGCTAGAAACGATAACTACTTACAATGCAAACGACTATTGTTTGATGGCGGTGTACTGTGCTCTAAGTGACCACCAGAACCTCCGTGATAGTAACTGGTAGTGGCTCCCGTCGCTGGACCGGGTACAGGGGGTTGTCGACGTCGGATTTGTCCATGTAACTCCGATGATTCGGGCGAGTCCAAGCTCAGCGATTTCATGCGCAAATTCAACTTTTGTCTTCTTGGCGAATGGGGAGCTTTTGTGGGACACCCAATTTCACAAAAATGGACAATATCACGTCAATATCAATCGAATGGCCCGGCAATTTGGTGTGATGTTTGTTTTTGGTCAGTGTTTGGAATGGTGGTGATGGTTTGGTTTTATTTGCATGTGTTGAGAGATGATCGCCGTTTTGGATGGGTTTACATTGAATGGGTTTGATTTGCGTTTAATTCAAATATACCACAAGCAATAACGCAATAAAAAAATAATTTGAGATGTTAATATCAATGCTCTATTCAGAGTAAACACAAAAACACATCTACAAAGACGACTAGTTATGTACAAATATTACGATTAAATACAAAATACTACCAGTGCAATGTTGTTTGCATTCCAGTGACAGGACTCAATACAATAATAAAAAGAAAAACGGACAGCTATATGGAAGATGACCAGTGTACATGACAACAAAAACATGTGTGGTGTCTACAGACAAACATATAAGCACAAAGTTGCAACGGAAAAGTGGTTTTGTGTTACTGGGCCGGTGTATGTTATGTGTGGGTTGTACGAAATGTTACTGGGCTAGGACATTTACTACAATTCGGTACTGGGCACACGTCTACCTTATGGACATGTGCACATCACCCATAATCTGAAGGATTGCTAAGTAGAAAGCATCTGCCGGTATTGTCGAAGATGGATGCTTCAGCATAAGAATTACGTAAAGGGTTGTTTGGAATGCATTTCGCACCTCTTTGGCACAAGTTGGGATTATGTTGCTCGCATATTTCGATTTATCATTGCGTAGAAAATCTGCCTAATTAATCAATATTGGTCCAAGCTTCCGGGTGGCCCCCACATAGTGATAACCCCATTAAACGGTATTTTGGGGGGTTTGGACACGTTTATCACATGAGTTGTCCAATTTTCATAGAAAAATTGCATAGACAGGTGGCGCCCATTATCAGCTTTTCTGAAGTTTTAATCGCTTTTCCCAATTGCAGTAGCTGTAATTTGACATTCCGGGACAATAGAGGTGAAATCATGTTATCGCCAAATTGGATATATAGGAATAAGTTTTGATATATCTCCCACATTAAGTTCCAGCACAATATTCGGTATTAAACGAATTTTAATGAAGTGGCATATCGAATTCCTGGTGAATAAAAAAATCCTTCCAGAAATTATTCAATAAAGGAATTATTCTCCAATTGTGATGTGATGTGTTCACTAATATGTTATTCATAGATTGGATTGGACCGAAGAATATACGCATTCATTATTATGCCAAATACTGATTATGCCAAATACTGTTATTCTTGTTTGTATCACGGCGAAGTGAAAGGAATGTTGAATATTCTATGCGCAGTAACTTGGTCTAAATTGGATTGTCAAAGAATTTATTCACTTTAAGCAGTGGCTTACAAAATGCAATAACTTTTTTCACGTTGTAGCGTTAACCATTAAACTTAGCTCCAAAGAGATGCCTGATGACGATTATATTTTCCCGAACAGCCGAAGCTACTGTTTTTCTGCCACAGCGAGCATATTGTTCCAATTCTGTTTTCTTTTTTTCTAAATCATTTCATACATATTCAGTATAATGTGATATATACTCAGATATCGGATTCCTTGGGAATCGGATACATATTTCGATAGACAGTGGAATTGATATGAGCATTTCCGGCAAAAGGTAAACCAAAGTAGAAGAATGTGTCTCTTTAATTGTGCTTAAATACGTAAAGTAAAGCCAAAAAATACAAAGAAAGACCACATTTGTCATTTTTTCGTCTTGTTCTTAGCATAAATACTAATTTAGTGACCATAAATGCAGACACTGCAGAAATAAAAACTTCAAAAGTGAGTGACCGAGAAACATCATTCGCAAATAAAGGATATGCCGAATTTTTAAATTTTGGAAGTCCAATAATAATGCTTGATATCTGCCCATATGTGAGTGATGTACAAGATACGCGACAAATGCAGACACGGCGCAACAACCCAACTGGCAATTCGTTGTAACAAACCGTAAATCCCGATTTGCATTTTATTTATTTTCAATTATTCTATTACAATTATATGAAATGAAATACAGCAAAGTATAAGAGTTCTATCTTTAACCTTAAACAACATGAATACAAACGAAAAGAACTAAACAAATTGGAGATAGCTTCGTAGTCGGCATGTCGTCTTCATTTGAGAGTAGAAAGGTAATATAGGAACATATGGTGTAACAACTTCTGGGCTTTGTTCCTTGAGGGCATTACGGAAAAACTATTGAGGCTTTGCAGAGGGCATTTGATCAGGGTCAGGTTTTAATTTGCAATTGAGACATGTTACATGGTATTGGGGCCCTGGGCCTGGACTGTGGCTTTAGGAGGGTGCCTTCCTTATTTTACGGTTTCTATGTCTTTAAACGAACTTTCCTTGCTGGTTTGGCCGCACCATTTGTGCTGGAGCTGGGAGCTGACGAGCTCTCTGAACTTCGTTGTTCACTAGATCGATCGACAATTATTTTCTTTTTCAGCATTAAGGGCTCCCCATATGGCCGCTCTGAGGTGGTGGGTTTGTCATCTGTAGCTATGATGGGAAGATTTAAGACACATTTTATTAGATCTGTTGCAAATGTCGAAAAGATATTTGGCCTGTGTAGTGACGGTTAGTGTCAGCAAAGCAACGCTAAAAATGACACAATTGTTGTTAGTAGTGGACGAAATTCATGCATTGTCGTGTGGCAAAACTAGTGTTTGGCAATAAAAGAACATGTATCTGGAACATTCCCATGTACGTTTCACGTTCATCTACTAATCATCTCTTACAACATCATTGTTTTCTAAATACGCTAGGCCACTATTTCTCTACGCATATCTAATACACTCATCTACGTAAAGGAATACATGTACATAGTGTGTTATTTGGGATTGCCCCCTTCTCCTGGTCCTAGAACATACCGCATGTGGCACAATGGACGAACTTCAAATCTATTTATCTATTTACATTTTAAAAACTAATATATGTAGATAATTGCAAATATGTTGCTAATGTGTATTGGTACTACCCTATAGCAAATATGTTGCTAATGTGTATTGGTACTACCCTATTGAATATAATTTATAAAGGGCCACGTTTTGATATAGTGGGTCCCATATAACTCTACATTGGATTTATGGTAATAAAATGATTTTTACCACTTTTAACTATGTATTTTTTGATAATTATTCTGTGGGTATAAGTCCTCATTTCAAAAATGTATGAATGTAGGTGTACGTTTAGACTAGAACGGTGAATTAAGGTCACCCTCAATGAGTTTTTCCTTTTTATGACAATTCTCTTAAAATGCTACAAAATAAAAAAGGCAAATAAAGGCAGATGCAAATTTAGGAGTAGCTTCCCCGGAGTGTGTATTTTAAAATAAAACAAAATATAATGCCGGGCAAGGCGGGCATACAAGTTGGAGCTTATAAAAATGATATTAATGGGAAACATTATATATAACCCTGCAAGCATTTGGAAGTGAGTTTCTCACTCCCTCGCCTATAAGTCACTTCCGCGTCACTTCTTTCCGGATAAAAGGTGACAGTTTGTTTATTTACAAAAACAAAATTATTGTTGTCCGCTTTATATAGTATTGGGGTTACTTCTTATTGACGTCTAGGAGGATAAAAAGAAGATCAATAAAGTTTTACAGGAACAATTTACATTGTTTCAAAATTTCCTCTCTCTCTCATGTAAAACAAAATTACAAAAGAAAACATTCATTCATATGTTGTTGTTGTAAGATTTTCAAAGTGATTGATACGCGGAAAAAATATAATTTTTTAAATCAAATATGATGTGCTTTTTATTATTTGTTCAAGAGGGTAATTAAAATAATTTTTAAATGTACAATAATCTAAAAATAAATATTAAAGAAATAATATGTGAAAAAGAATTTAGTTAATGTTGTAAATTATTTGATTAATTTTTAATGTGAAAATGTTAAAATATGGATTATAATTTCCCTATTGGTATTACATTCCCGACTAAACAAATCATGCTTGCCAATGTAAGTAACGCGGAAGTGAAATAGAAGTGACGCCTAGGCGATAGAAACGGTCGCAAAAGATTATCGCATTCTTATCGCGGAAGTCACCTCCTTCGGGAAGAAATGAACCACTCCCGCGTCACTTCAAGGAAGTCACTTCCGAGTGTCTTCCAAGAAGTTACCCAGGCGTTACTTCCAGGAAGTGACGCGGACGTGGTTCATTTCTTCCCGAAGGAGGTGACTTCCGCCATAAGAATGCGACTATCTTCCGCAACTGTTTCTATCGCTTAGGCGTCACTTCTTTTTCACTTCCGCGATAGTTTTTGCTTGCAGGGAATTATTAAGAGGACATGTTTTAGAATTTTAGTGCTCAAGCGAGCTTTCCACTATTTTTTTTTAAATAAGTCGCACACCCCAATGTCTAATATAATATATGTATAATATTAATATATCAATTGTTTTCAGCATATATCGAAAAACTCGATTTTTTCCAACCACAAAAAACCCGTTATATCAATGTACCGTTATATATGAGTTGTATGCCTTTTTAGGGCGAATGGAAAGGAAAGCCAGGGAGAGATATTTCCAATAATGATCATTATTTGCATTGGTATCAAGTGATTGAAGGGCCCAGGTTAGTGCGATGAAATAAATGAATGCATTGTATGGGTGTGTTTTTGTGAATAGGATGACAGATGGAAATGGCGGTATATGAAAGTGCAAAATTGAGACCGATGATTTGGCGAACGAATACATAGGATATGATCAAGTAGCAAAAGTACACACACGTACATAAACACTATAGATGTAGTCAAGAGTCATGCGAAACGTGTTTGGTATCACTTCTTTATAGACCGAGTGTCACAAACGCGAGACGAATCCGGAGATACCAAAAATCATTATATTTCCGTACAATTTTTCGGAATTGCATATTTGGCACACAAAGCCGTGTTGCCCCTAAAGTATTAAAAGTACACCTTCCGAGTGAATTGCATACTGGAAGAACTTTTGATAACTTGTATAGAGAGGTTTTGCGGACCTTGAAGTACATTATTCTAGAAAGCATCACGGCGTTGGAAAATATGCTATTCACTACAACGGACTATTAGTTGAAAAGATTAGATTGAATAATTTATGTATGTGTGAGTGTCTTAATGCCGGTGTGCCAAGTTACAGAGGTGTGTATATAGGTGAGTACGTGTAAATATGCGAAAGGGAAGAATCACATCAAATGAAAACAGAACAGAGGGCACTGAAGGTTCTGGTGGAAAAACAATTAAATACGACGGTTAAAGACAAATACAAATGAAAATCTAGAAGCAGGGTCGTACAAATACAACAAGGAAATGAAACAAAGAAGACATTAACAGGACATGTACAATGATCTACGGATTATATATACAAATTTTAAATCCCTCAGACATGTGACGTTTATGCGGGCTTCGGCGCCCATTGCGTCCTCTATGAAGGTGATTTCGTTAGTGTACCTCTATGTGTTAGAGAAACAAATTGACCACAGTAGTACGAACACGAAAGAACACGCATAAAAACAGTAGCAGACGAACAAGACACTTTGTTTAGGTACAAATACATATAAACATTTATGTAATTACTTTCTGGCAATGATATTGAACGATGTTGAGATGAACGTGAACGAGAGCGCCCCAATCCAGACATTGGACGAAAGCCGGCGAAGAGGCGTCTTCGCAGGCTGGGATCAGCGGAAACTGGCTGTGTTGGTATTGTTGCTGTTGTTGCTAGTTGGTGTTGTAGTCCCGGCATAAAGGAATACCGAGATTGCTGTTGAGTGTACATGGCAGATGTTGGAGCCGTCGAAGCTCCTGTGGCCGCACCCGAATTCATAATGGTTGCTGATGTCGCATAATAATTAATGCCTATGCCCCCGCTTAAATAGGCCGCCGTTGACATATTCGCCACTGAAGGTAATTCTCTGACAAGACGACAATCTACTAAAATTCGATTTTCACATAAACTATTTTGAAAATAAGCAAGTATACAGTTGAGCAGACAATAATAGCACCACTATTTTTGTTATCATTTCAAAAACAAGGGCACAGTCACGCTGTGCTATTGTTACTATGTACAACAAATCGATTCAACATGTTAAAATTATCACATTTGATAAGACATGGAAATATGGTGCTGGGATAGAACAAACGCAGCACCATTAACCCTCATTTCTATAGACTAAAAGAAAGATTGGAACTAGAATGTTGGGCATTGCAAATAAAAAATTTAAAAAATCTCTTCAGACTTTATTGCATCCGATCAGTCCACTCCTACTCCCGCCCATACAATGGGGAAACTATCGGGAAGACGTTCTACATATAGCACTCTTCTATTCGTTGTTCCTTTGCGGTCTTTACAACAACGCTAAGATATTATAATAAGTTTTTGTGTTAAAAATGGCTTAGAAACGAGAGACTTGCTTTTGTCCGATGAAGTGCGGCAGGAGCCCGAAGCGGTTACCGTGAAATGACAAGTCTTTTATGGGATGCTTGTGCCCAGGCTTAGACGCATGATCTTCTAATATAGTGATAATCTTGAATTGAACATATCACTTGTGTATATGGTAAGTAAAGAGGAATTCCTAGGGGTACACAAAGTGAGGAAACTGCTTTTCAGATACAACTAATGAATGAGGGTGGAGGATGGGGGGTGTATGGGAATGAAAGAATGTGTTTGTGTGTTTTGACGTCAATTCTAGTAATCCGCGTTCAACTTAAGCGATGATGGAACATTTGCAATACGTATATATATCGAAAATAATGACTTATGGCTGTGGAACAAACAAACAAACAGACAAATAAAAATAATAATACAAAACAAATCTACTAAATTGAACGAAGAGGTGATTATTAAAGACTCTACTGTAAGTTCGATACATCAGAAGAGAAGAGGGGTGGATCCAAATCAAAAATGATGAGATGTTGGAAATGTCCATAAAAGGAAAATTGTTAAGTGTGAAACCTGTGTGAACTAGTTTAGAGGAGGCATGGGAAGAAGGCTAAAAGTGTAGTTTATCTGGATGGCGGACCTGAACTACTAGATATGTCTTGTGCAGGCACTGGAAGTCCTCCTCCTGCCGAGCTGGAGATGCCGCCACTCCACTGCTGTGACAATTCCTGTTGCTGCAGTTGCACTCCGAGAATGGGCATATGTACCGGCGGTGGTCGAACTCCGCTACGAACACCCCGACCACTTGCTGATGAACTGGCAGCACCCATGGCTATTGGACGGTCGCTGCGTTCGGGATATTCGGGTACGTTTACAATGGGAATATCAGTATGCGACAGGCCATCTTTTGCTGTACTCTGGACGGATTTATCAGCTGCAATGGTGTTGGCGTTTTTATTTTCTCCGCCTTGTTTTAAAATCCGATACACTTGATCGATATCGGTGAGTTCTTATTAGGTTATGGTTGATTTGTTCGGTTGATCATTCAGATTCAATCAGATTAGGGGCCAGATCAATTGATAGATTTCATTTAGAATTTGGTCGAATTTCAATAAAGCCGATTATTTTGCAATTTTAAATTTTTGATATCGATGAAATACATGTTAAAAGTTAATAAATCATATGTATGTTGTATGAGTACAAATAAGTCCAGAAATTTACAAGAGTATGGAAATTTAGCTGTAACAGTGAAGGCTAAGAGAATATGCAATTCTAGCGCTAGATACGAGTGGTGTTTGCATTGCCCTATAAACATTATATCTATGTCACGTCGTGTTGCTCGTATTGGAATTTCGGTATCGACGGCACGTTTTTTGGGCATAGTTTCACAATTACGCGACGTCTTTTTTACAATACAGAAATTGCCTAACCTTGTTGGTTTGGATTTTTCGCTATAATTTTGAATGGTTCCCTGTACGGTATGTACGGTAATTTCGGATTCGAATCGCACTTCCTTCCAACTATTGTATTTATTATTATTATTATTTTTTTTTTTTTTTGAATAATAATATTCAATTATCATTATTATTTTCAAATTTACACAGATATCACATGCTCCACTAACAACCAATGAACGTCTGCTTACCACTAAGAAATGAAATATTTGTACCAGTGTTTGCTAGGTGTTGTATCGAATTTTGTGCATAATAATTCGACTGTTTTACTGTATTTGGAATATGTAAATATATAGGTGTATGTATGTCGATATATGACCGTCTAATGATGTGCTATTCCGCTATATGGTCACTATCGTTCTGTGCGGGACTTACGTGTTTGTGTATAAAAAATATAAACATAAACCAATTAAAACTCAACTCGAGATGCAAACCAAAATTGACCAAACAAATAGCCTGCCTTAGCGCCTAGTTATAGCTATAGGCTCGGCGTCGGATATAAAAAGCGCAACAAATCCAAGTCAGTTTTAATATTTGATTAGTTGTTTTCTTGATTGAATTGGGAATGTTGTGATATCTGGTCGAATTTGATGTTGTTGTTGGTATAGTTTGGTTGACTAAATTACGTGGATGTACCTAATTGAACAATGCGCTCCATAAATGGCGCCTTTTGGCGGAATTTTGCAGGCGATACATTTGCCGTCAGGTTGGCTGGCTTCATCACATTGACATTGTCCTCGTCTACTGTTCCACAATACATACACACAGACACACAATTGCAATGCAAAGTAATAGAAATGAAATCGATGTGAATGTGTCACAGCTCATTCTAATAGCCCTATAACCTGGTTAGCTTTAATAAATCCTAAAGGCATGCATGATACCACAAACTAATTGCTACTTCCGCAGCCGCCCTGCCACGAATTGACAAATTATCACATTTCGCCAAATCTGAATATTGAAGTTGCTCCTTATAAACGATAAACACAAGAAAACATAAGCATCTGTCGATGTTCTCCTATTTGTCATGATTCTGTGGAAAAATGGTGCACACAAGTAAAACTTCCAGTTTATTAATGCGCAGTCACTTGACGGCAATTGAATTGCCTCCATTGAAAAGTGCGACATCTATGTCTTGTTGATTGATTAATTACCACTTTAGTTCTAGGTCAAAATCATATATATATATATATATATATATCATATATATATATATAAATATATATATATATATATAAATATATTGCATAAACAAGTTTGTCCCATGGACATAGTAAAGTTTTGTATTATGTAACACAAATTTCAAGAATCGCAATAGATAATATCGCTATAAATTCAAGTATATCATAAATGATACGTCATGTAGCTCATTGCCGAAGCAGGATCACATTTCAAATAATAATTATGTTATTCTTAGTTTATTCAATAGATGGAAATTATTGGAATCCAATATACCGATGAACTGACAGGCTGCCAGGCTCACTAGTCCTCTATTGTTTTATGTAAGTATTAGGTGCACATACTGAAGAAAAGGTGACAACCTTGGTTTAGGAAGTAGCAATCTATGTTTGGGTGGAAATCGATGGATGTAAATAGCTGAATGTGATGGGTTAAATGAAATTCTTCGGAACGATTGTCTTGTAAGTCGGACTGGACAGAAGGTTAGAAACACAACAAACAGGTCTAAAGCTTAACCGATTCCGCAAATGGTTCCCGATTAAATGTAAAACTCGTGGCTTTAGATAGCAGGCAATGGTGACGGCCGGTGTTCAACTTGGCGGATTCGATTGTAACGCGGCATACTTACTTTCCTCTTCGACGTCAACGCGGTTTTCCAATTCCGATGTGCTTTTCTGGCGTCTCAAAAGCTTTTGTTTGGGCTGACAGCGTGGTAATTGAGAGGCACAATCGCCGTGAGCGTTTAGTTTACAAATTCGACAGCGTAGACCTTGCCGTGTATGACCTATGAGAAAGAAAACGACATATACATTATTTTATTTCGAAGCGAATGCGGTCGTGCATTATTCAAAGAGTAATGGTAACAACATCGCTTACCTCGTAAAATTTGAGAGCAGACATCACAGGCTGTTATCTTCTTATATGTGTATTCCTGCAGGTGATGACTACCGTCTTCATTAGGTCGTACTGGTTGTGAGGAGCTTCCTGCACCATTGCGTCTGTAAGCACATTTTCCGTTATATATAAAGGAAATATAGAGTCATTTAAATGATGGAAATACTGGTAAGCATCTTCAATATTTTACGTTATTACTGAAATGCATGACTTCAGGTTACATTATGTGGAAAGAATCAAAGAAATGAGGGGGGAGGAAACTAAGCTATAGATAACAAAACATATACACAACTGGCCAAAACAATAAGTACATCTTAGTTTATGCTTGATGTTATGCCTCACAATCAGTAGTTTCTCTAGAAACATATAAAGATAAGTTATACCAAAAGTATATTAGGCAATTGTACTCGCGGCAATTGTTCGTTTTTGGGCGAGAGAGGTGAAGGGTTGATTGTTGTATTCCCCCTAACAATTGAAATTGCCTAGTGTAAAGCCGGAGTTAGCAATTTCACAGTGCTAACAGTTTATTAGACAGCAACAAATAAATATTTATTGATTAATAAGTCGAAATAACCATTTTTGACGAGAAGAGGGAAGAATGACAAAAAGTAAGGAATGATAGAAAATTGTAGCGATAGTAGCCAAATCATTGAAAAAGATGCGTTTGTCCAAAACGCATTGAAATCAAACATAATAAATCTGAAGAAACCTTATGTAGGTTTTAAAACTGTTTGCCAAATGTATTTATTATTTTATATTTTCGGGTTAGCGTTTAAATACATTTATTTTCGAACTTGAGGTTTTTCATGCATTCTACAAAGACAAAGAAATTGTCAGTCGAACAAGCTCTCCCACTTAAAAATTAATTCTTGAAAAATGTCCTATTTTCGATAACACACCGAGTTAGAAAATAAGGAAGATTTTGCCCGATTGAATTTGTCCTATCCTAGTTTATACGATAGCTATATACGTACAGAATAACATTAAAATTTGGAAAGGTAGTAAAAACACTGCTTCGAGAAAAACGTTTGAGAAGTAAAAACCGTCCAGAGTTATTGCGATATTCACTTGAAAATTTAAAGGGGCATTGTTGACTCAGTGTAGGTTCGAATAAAATAGAAAACCGAAATTCATTTTTTTGCAATAGAGATAGGGATTGGTCCCCTTAAATTGATCGATAATCGACGTTACATTGCATGCATTTCAAGGAAAATGAAAAAACAGATAAATGAAATATAAAAATCTGTCACGGAGAGTAGATATTTGTGCTTCGCCAGACAAAAGAACTACCGTTTACGGGGCCTTAAGAATTAACCCATAACACAATTGGCAACTCAGTGCTAAATTGTATTTTATTTATATACTGAAACGTGCAATAATCCAAATCGGTGTTCTTAAGTTATGACCCCCTTCAATTGAATGAGCGACACGCACTCCGGACTTGTTGATTGTGTTAAACGGTTATATTAAGTGAAAACGGGAGGGTGTGTTCTTATGGCGCCCAGGTGACATCTAAATGCGTGTGGTGGTCCGTCGTTGTTAAGTGCCCAAACTGGTACTAAGCTAATGTGGTACATATGAAAACTATAAGATTTAATATATATTTGTTATTGGTTGTCAAGTGGGAGAAAGAACTGACCAGTTTTAGAAATTTAAAAATTGCATTTCATGGGCGAAGCTGAATTGTTTTATTTCCTATTTGTAAAGCAGCGGGCTAACTGTTTGACTGAAGAAGGACCAAATTGGGTTGCGGTAGAGTATGAGGTGTAAGTGCATTCCAAGGGGGTTTGAGGTTTTCTTTGTGTTGTGAGAGCGGGTAACATTTTCACAAAAGTAACTCTGGCCGACGGACTGACACAGTGTAACGAATTAAATGACTTAAACTACTAAGGTATGGACATGTCAAATACACTTTGATTAACATTCCTCCAACGCAGATATTGCAGATATATTGGGTGGTCTATTTATAAGATACAATGAATATCTTAGAAATAGACCACCTATTGTGCAGGCATGAGCATGAAACGGAAACTTGCAACATATAGAACTCAAAACAACTATTTCAATGCTAACAGTTTTATAATTTCCTTAAGCCTTTTTGCTTTTGTGTGTGCTTTTGTAGTTTTTTATTATATATATATATACATACAGTGGTGGTCACGTAATTAAAACATTTATTGTGGTAAACAGTTCTTGATGAGCCCTCGATTCTTTAAAAGCATTTTTGAACATTTTTAATTCAAACACTTCGATATACTGCACTTCAGAGATATGGTGTGAAAATAGAAGAGTATTACATGCAATTTTTTCATAAATAACGGCTTTATGAAAAAACATCGACTTTGAAGTGGCTACATAATTAAAACATTCTGTGATTTTTTACTTTACTGCATTTTTTTGAAATTAATTTTTAAAAAGCTTTTTAATTTAGTTAAATTGTGGAAACTAAGCACCGATAAAATCATTTACAGACAATTTTTTTTTAAATCTGTAAAATCTATCAAAATTGCCAAACATTTGTACAGTACACCTAACATTCAGAAAATCACCCTTTTTATAGAAAATAAAAATCCGAATGCACCAGAATTTGCTAGAATTAGTGGAAAACAATAAATAAATATTTGAAACAAAAACTCAAAAAATGGGAATTAACCTAAAAGAAACCGTTCAAATTCGATAGACTTTATTGAAGAAGTTTTTATTTCAAATGTGTATTTATTTTGAGAATAATTTATTGTTTTCTACTAATTCTAGCAATTTCTGGTGCATTCGGACCTTTATTTTCTATAATAAGGGTGATTTTCTGAATGTTAGGTGTACTGTATTCCCTTTTATTAAAATATGCGGATTCTCTTAGGCAAACTAAAAAATCCACCGACACAAATTATATTTAGCTAACTCTTTGAGCTCCCAAATTGTTCCTAGTCCATGTCAATATTTTTGTGTACAGAATTAATGCATCGGTATTAATTCATTCGGAGATGCACTTTAGTCTTGCTGAATAAAAGTATAATAGCTACACCAACCAAACGTAACATTGACGAAGAAACACTTTAGATTATTACATATTTTAATTTTTTTACAAAAATCATAAATCATTTTACAGATAGCATTTTACACAATCTGGATAAATAATAAAAATAAATTGGACTATATACACCGATTGATACTGTGCACATTTTTATCATCGAACGTTTATTGAAAAGCGAAATGATTTTTTGATTTTGCATTTGATGTGTCGTTAATCATCAGGTTTTAAGATATCTAAATAAAAATATATATACCAGACTAGATGCATATAGATGTACATATGCGCCGCCTGTGCCCTACTTTGGCTCTTACAGCGTTATATATTAAGACATCGTGCCATTGGTCATATATCGAACACTTCATCCGGTTATATGCCTATAACAATTCGTGCAAGACAATTATAATGGGGATGTATACGGGATATAGGTTACGACATGTACAAATTTGACTATATAATGGAACTGTTTTAGTGCATGCTACTACAATATATGCCACTAGCACCTACAGAAAAAAATAATATTGGATTTGGATGGGGAAGTAATTGGCATATAAATCTATTTACATCTAAAGTGTACAAAAATGCCTTACAATTAAAATATCAATAACTAAGTCGAAATTTGCAATTCGTGTTATTACCTTAGAGTTAAGACAGTCGAAACGGCGTGATACATTTGATTGGAGCGTGGTTGACTGAATTCGATAAAGATTCATTTTAAATAGTTGTTTTTAAGGGGTATTATAACAGGAATTCGGCAAGGGTTTAGGGAAAGTATGGAATCGAGGGATATTTTATGAGAATAAATGTGAGCAAAAACAAATAGCAACGTAAAAATTACTATTTTGCAAGTGGCAAGGTGATTATAGAAAACTATCATGTATTTTGGAAAAGAGTTCAACCATATTTATAATTAACCCCAACATATGTCGGCAAATGGTGAAACGATCGAAGAATAATATAATATGAAATATTATTTTGCCGAATCGCATCGACACGATACGAATAAACCAACTCCGCGTGAATGAGAATCCACGAAACTTCAAAATTGTTGCGAGTGCTTTGGCAAAAATATCCATCGGCCGCTGTCTCCACCTTCCTACACGAACAACAAAGATAATCCTTGTCATTGCCAATGATGAGGATTCCCATGTACACAAATGTAATGCTATGAAATCCTTACTAGCGATATAATATGTGAAATTACACGAACGACCCATGTTTTCGTCCATATACATTGGAAGATATTACTATCGACTACCGTTTAAATGGAGACATTTTGTCTTTTTTTGCCACTCTTTTTGTTACGGAAGGGTCCAACCATTCACAATTTGCACTGGAACATATAACCTGATACAAGTTTATTGCATACTTTTGCTATTTTACTTTTACTGAAATACCACATTTCACAGAGCATTTCTCGCATTCCACTCCAGTGCCCGTTGTAACAATAGGAGGACAAGTGTGAAGCGAGAACTGTACACATTGCCTTCTATGTCAATAACTGGACCGCAACATGATTCTGCTCTAACGAATTCTCACATAGAAAGAAACCCAAATGTTATGTTATTACCACACTCTGGTTCGGTTTGCCCACCATGTGCAATGGCCCGTACCGACATCAAGGACACCGCAAGCTATTCGTATGAATGTTTCCATTCAACCATATGAATGCAAGTGTTAACATATTTTTATTATTATTTGCCCACCTCATAATCGGTCATGCACTGCAGCACCGTCACCGTTCTGAGCCTCGAAAAATCGGTTATGGCTGAGAGTACAAGGACATACTATGTATGAACACCACACCCCTAAGTTATGTTTATTAATTTATTTCAACAATCCACGGATATCATTGACGGACTAATCTATTTATCTCCGGACATTTACCGACTCATATGTTTACAGAATATGCCAACCAAATAGTTTACACATTTGAGGCAAGAATTTGCACACTAAAAATTCCTGTTCAGCACGGTTGACCCTGAGACAAATATTCCGGCATTGTGTTTCGACATACAACACAAACAAAAGCACACATGTAATCAAACTAAATGCACTCACCTGTCCGATTGAACTGCTGAACCTGATGCCGGTTTTAAGCTTTTAATTGCCTTCAGCCACTTTGTTTTCATCGATGGCGCAGTGACTGCTGAAAGTTTACGTTCGCCGCGCGGTGACCCCGGGTCGAGTTTGCTCACGAACAGCTCTTTCTGTAATTAACCAAGAGAACACAAATACAATTAGCACCTCAAAAATAACGTGTATCCCTAATTCAGTCTACTCTTCCACACACAGACCATACACATCGCACACACCCATAGGTTCAATCATTGAGAGTAATAACGGCACTCTCAATGCTCGTTGCTTTCGACTTCGGGCATCTGCTAGATAAGTATACCAGCAGTAGCAGGCCTACGATTATTTTGTACCAATACCAGAAATAAGTAAAATATAAGTAATAAACTCCTGGAATAATTGTTACAGCTGTCTCTTTCCCTGGGTGGGTACGAGCCTGTGTGTGTGTTCTATCGATGTGTCACTGACTTGCGACATAAGTTCGATAGTATCCGAGTCATACGATTCCCGCAATACATGCTGCGGATGGCCTACATTAAGTAAAGTTATGAAAATATAAATAAAAAAAAATAAGTCATTATTGGCACTAAGGGCCCGACATGCATATGAAATACATACATCCCCCCCTCTCACAAGTTCGTGGTGATCAAGGCGTCGATGGATTTTAAGTTAAACTCATGCGGGATAATATTAACACAATACTACTTATTTAGCCAGAAGTTACAAAAACTCGCTTGATTGCAGACCCCAATTCGGATTACCGAGATTTCCGTATTATCGAGTTTTTTTTTTTTTTTAAATTGGTTTAAATTTATATTAATTTAGTGATAATTTAATTAGTTTTATTTTTTATTAAAAAACATAGTTATTCATTGCAAAAATACGATAACATACCATAATAAAAAAATAAATCAAAATACGTATCTTCACAATCCGAATTGTTTGAATGGAATAAAGCTAATCAATCGGGATTATAGAATAAGCAATGGTTTGTGAAATGCAGTCCAGATTACCGAATAATCCGCATTAACGAGGTCCGAATTATCGAGTTTATACTGTACTTATATTGTTCCGGGAACGTATACAGGATTTCAATTAAGGCGGTTGGGGAACGCTAGAACAAAATGGAAATAAAATTGCTGTTGCAAACATAAATTTATTGCGAAAAATTTCACTTCGAGGAATTCTTCAACTATGGTGTCAACCAAAAATATACAATTACAGCCAACGCGGTTGAAAAATGTGTCTAAGACACCCCAAAATATCGAAAATGTGTTCCATTATGGGTCTACCTGAAACCCCCCTGAGTAAACTTATAATGGATAGAATTTTATAATCTCCTATCTCTTACATATATATAAAAATGAAATGATGTGCGTTGTCTGCTAAAAACTAGAGAACGGTTCATCGGATTTTAATAATTCCTTTTGTGTTGTATTCGCATTGTTAGCAGGTTTAGCAGTAAAATTTTGGTTTGCAACATTTTGGTTTTGAAAAATCCTTTTTTTTTTTGATAAAACAAGCAGGCAAGAAACGAAAATTTTGAATCAAAATTAATTTTTTTTTGCCAATCAATAATAATAATAATCCCAAAACGGGGACGACCAAACATTGGTCGTTAGTCTCGCTAAAACTCGGGAACGGCGGAACGGATTTATCTGATCTTAGTCTTGAAATGTTCGTGGAGGTCTAGGGAAGGTTTAAAATATGAGAAAAAATCGAAAGCCGAGAAAAATTTGCAAAAAAATATTATGCAGCATATTTGCATTTCCACGAATTTATTATCGAGCTAATTTGTTTGCCCCATGTCGTAGTTGTTATTTTGAGATTTTTTGGGAGAACATCGGTAGCGTATCATTCCTTTAAGCCTACATTTGTCAATTATTGAAAATTTTCAAAATATTTATTTTTTTGTCAATTGGATTGACATTGTATTGAAAATTTTTTTGGGCAATACCAAAAATAATTGAGAAGTATATCATTGTATATACATGTTTTCCATAGAATGCACGTATATTTTGGAACTGATGCAAGGTTGGAAAATGAGAAGACGTTCTAAAATAAGATCCATGCCCAGATTAATTTGTTTGAAAATAATAATAGAAACATGTTGTTCATTAAAGTACCAGAAAAGTTGAGAAGCCACGGAAATATGAAATCAGGTGGTTATATGCTAATCGTTTTTCAATATCATTGAACTTATAAATAGAACACCTCGCATATATCCTATATCAAAAATGTGTATCACAGAAAAAACAAATATACGAGATATTTTCTTTGCCCAAATCTATCATTAAGCTCAGCTGGAAATATAACAACTAGCAATATAAGAAAAAAAGCCAAGAAATTATAACAAATTTTAAGGTTATACCAAAACCTCCGTCCGATGTTACTACATATAACACTCAGGTTTGAAAACGGGAAATGATTATGGCGTTTTTTTTAAATCGTTTAGCTATAGTGCATAATTTGTAGGATGACGTTTTTTATTCACAGGAGTCCGTTGTGCCTAATTGTAGCCAACTCTATGAGAAAACTAGGCCAATGTCTTTATAATGCCGAAAATGGGGCGATACCTACATATATGTATTCCTATATCATAACTTGGATCTAAATAGATAATTATTCGCAAAAATGTGTCTCAGCCGGAATGAAATGTATGTTCAAATTGCAGAGCACTATCTCAAATCGTGGATGGTAGAAAAAGCTAACTTAATATTGGGCTATCGTTATGTGAATTATACATCAACAATATGGCTATGCAAGACAACGTTTGCCGGGCCCGCTAGTTATTCATAAAAAAGGTTTGGTTTACTTGACCCGCTACATTTTAACCGATAATTAAAACAGTAATACCTGTTCATTGGTCAGATAAAGGTTCGTGAAAAAACTGCAGCACAAAAGCGAAGAAAATCTATATATATACATACATAGGTATATATGTATATGTATATAAATTAATTGGTAGCATATTATTCCTTTAAGCCTTTATTTGTCAATTATTGAAAATTTGGAAAATATTTTTGTCATTTGGTTTGATAATGTATTGAAACTTTTTTTGTGAGAATTCAAAAAAAATAATTGAGAAGTGTCATTAAATGCACAGTTGCTTTTGTACTTGAAATTGGAAAGCGGTCAAAATGAGCGCCTTCGGCGTTCTAGTGTTAAGTACCTTAAATGTTGACATTATATGTTGGTTATTTGCCCAATCGTTGGTCAATATCTTTGAACTTATAAACACAACATATAACGATGATATTTTCTGTGAAAAATTCTATCATTAAGTTCATATCAAAAAAAGTTTTATTACCTATTCGTATTGAACCTGTGACTATAAAATTACAAATACCTCAATATGTCACCTACCGATAAATTAAATTAGGAGATATAATGACATATACAAATGTTGTTAAGATCGAACTTTTCAACTACCTTCTCATATGTATATTCCTTAAATCGGTCGGGATGTTTATATGGGGACAATGCTACAATATTATGTGGTAGTAGGTTGTCCATGGTCTTTAAAAATAATGTTGTTAATTGCACACGAAAATTAAACGGGAAATATGTATGGCGCCTTTATAAAAATAAACCTAAAATGCCGAAAATTTTACAGCAACAATATTGCTAGGCAAGACAACGTTTGCCGGGCCCGCTAGTGTTTTAATAAATTTTGATCTGAATTTTTTAATTTTCGAACATTTTTAAATTTCGACTCGAAAGAGTATAAATAATCACTTAAAATCACTTTCAAATGATCACAAAAATTCAAATAACAAAAATTAATTTCAGCCGAGCACGGCTAGGGCTCGAACCTAGGTCCTCGGAGCAACACAAATGTTGCCAAGACCACTTAACGTTCTGAGCCATCAACACACTTCCAAAACGGTTGCGCAAAAACATGTGTATACCATGGAAGCAATTGTAGGTGTGTGGATTAATTATCCATCGCTACAACAAAAATCTGCTTTGAAAAGGACTGTTCCTAGAATGAAGACAAATGTCGAACTTTGACAAATTTGAATTTAATTCGCATATGCAAGTTTCGCATCAGGGCGGAATAAATACAAGTTATCAACGTACGACCTTTGTAAAGCCACATAGCCCAATATGCCTGATGAGCCGCTTAACAAACGGCGAAACGCGTCGCATAATGGTGGGTACGTAGGTTCTTCTCCTGGCTTTCCTTTTCATTGCAAAATTTAGATCATCAAGCTCGACTCGAAAGAGTATAAATAATCACTTAAAATCACTTTCAAATGATCACAAAAATTCAAATAACAAAAAAAAAAGTAATAATTTGTAATAAATAAAACCGTTTCTGATATGCATTAATAAAATACATATGTATATATTTGAACATAAACACTCTAAAAAACAAGCCGTTCAAATATGCCAAACTTTGTTCAAAGGGGGCAACCCCTGGGGGGTACAGTTTTGAACACTTTGACTTCGTCGATTAAAACAGTAATTAAATATTTATATTCATTGTAAAAGTTACATTTCGTCAGCTAAAATGCAAAAAGGCGTAACTAACAAAAAATTGAAAATTGACTTTTTGAATGAATATTATGAATGTCAATAAACTATATGTGTTGACAAAGTTTCACACGTCTGTGGTCAAAAAAGGAGCTCCTATTAACAAAAAACAAAAGGCGTAACTAACAAAAAATTCAAATTTTTACTTAATAGTTATGACTGCCTTTAAACTAAATAACTAAATTTGTTAAAAAAATTATTGTCTATTATTCGTCATATGCAATATCACCCTGCCGGGCATACTTTTTTTGACATGTTTATAGTTTTCATTCAAAACAGTTTTTTGCTTCTCCTACACAATTATGTTTTTGTTAGTTACGCCTTTTTGCATTTCAGCTAACGATATGTACCTATTAGTAAAAATTTAGTAAGAAAACATTTTATGAGGTTTGAAAGAAAAAAGTGTTCAAAGATGTAGGTTTTCGTTGAGGTAGGTTTTCGTCCCTAGCAATCGCCACTCATCTAATATCAGGATAACTGCAAATCTGTAATAACTCGTCGATGTCCAAAAAATAACCGACTCTTATGTGTTCTGCAAACAAGCATATTGCGGACGGTAAATACAAAATATGTATTAGACAATTATTCCGGTATT